TATATATAAAAGAAAATATTTTAAAAGTATTTTATAAATAGCTGAAATCCAAGAGGAAAAAATCTGTACTTTCTTGCATGACATGCAATATCAGTTGCATTTATAACTGAGGAAAGAGAATTTTGCCTCTTGTTATATTTTACATATTCATATAAGGACAAAAATATTCTTGACTTCTTATAGATATATTTGTGTTTCGGAGCACTGAACTGAATTCCTGGCATTAAGAATTCAGAATGTAAGTAAGTACACCTTTATTACAGTAAGAGCAATTATACTTATGTAACATAGGTCCACCAAAATATGCTTGGGGTATGCAGATCAGATAATTGCACAGAACTACCAGAAGGAAACATCTGACCCCTATTTATGCGTAATCAAAAATTTGAAGAGCAGTGTGCTTATTCTACCGACAAAAAACCAAACAATTATTAGTGCTTCTAGAATCAAAATAAGACAATAACAACTTCCCACATCACATTTTCTCTTCCATCTTTGTTATTGGGTGCAACTATTTGAATGCTATGACTGCTCTATATTAACTTTTTTCCAAAATTTACCTTTTTCAAAAAAATTATATTTATTAAAAGCAAAAAAAAATTAGCATAAAACAATTAGATTCATCTCTTTGATGGTGAAAGAGGCAATTGGTTGTATTGTTGAAAATGAATCCCTTGTGATGCTGTAATCTTCATCACTTCTCCATTTAGAGTATCATCTTCAATTATTGTTATCAGTCCCTCGGCAATTAATGATGGGCTAAAAAGAAAAAAAAGAGTTGCTTTTTCAGAATGGTGGTGTACTAGAATACGTGAAAAGGACAAGTAAAAACATTCAGTGTAAACGTGTATGCCCTACAAATAAAACAATCTACTATTTGAAGAAATTTATTTTCAACAAAAGCAGAAGAACGATGAGTGTTTCAGGAAGGAATTTCAGTCGCCTCAGTCAGGACATACAGTGAACAGCTGCAACTGCAAACATCGTTTGTTTGCTCTAGTCATTGCTAAATCCCCACAGACATCCAGCTGCCACTGGGCTTTCTATCAAAGTTTTCTCTGTCAGGGCAATTGGCAGAAGTAATCTTTACACAATCCTTTGCAGCTCTTTGCTCTTGAATTATCCTATTTCAGTAACAGGACCGACATACAATTTAGTGTGAGAAGAATTCTGTCGCATGTGATTTGTAGTAGATGCAGTATAGCTGACATCTGAAAAAGGGTGGGCAAAACAACATAGTTGCATGATTTCCTTTGTGCAGAAGTGTCTGAGTGGCTAATTGTTAGGGGCTAAGAAAATACTCCAGAAATATCTGTATATTTGTGTCTTGTTCTGATACACTTTCCTAGCTGTCTACTTTTGGCCTTTGTTGGAAACAGGACAGTGGACTAGGTAACTCTTTGATCTGATCTACCCTGGTCACTACTATGTTATTGACTTGGTCAATTTTTCCTTGTTCCTTGTTCGATTTTTTAACTTATTCAATTTCAAACGGTATGGAAACCCAATTCAAATGACAGAGTCTATCTGGAAGAACAGTCCATCAAGGGCTGTTAAATACTAATATACGATCTTTAGCTCAGGAACTTGATTTGTGCTTTACTGGGAACTGGGAATCAGCTGCAAGTGCTACTGTGCATGCCTGTTCTTCATTTACAAAGGATAAAGAACACTATATCTAACTTTACTTACTCCATCACACCATAGAACTGCATCATATTTTTGATCTCATCCTTGTATGAATAATATTGTCCCATATTCTCCTCTTTATCTATTGACTGAAGAATTGGCGTGTTGACAAATCCTGGACAAATAGTGTTGAGTCTCACGCCATAGTTTTCCATACTAGCAGCTAACTAGAAAAGAGATACAAGTTAGGCATTCATCACCAACATTTTAAACAGTATTATGAAAGCAATATTTCAAAGAATACTTATCATTAAGTATTTTAATATCCTTGCCTGGTAGGCAATTTTGTTGCTACTGGTTGTTTTGTTTCAACAACTAAGTTTGAAGTGTGTTTTCTTTAGTAATCATACTTGTTTTTATTTGTCCAACATGGTTTGGACAAATGTTGGACATGTATGTTTTTCTGAGAACAGTTCTACAAGATAATAAAATTCTTTCCATAAAGCTGTTTTTCTAATTTTTATTGCCAGTGCTCTTGGTATTAACGGTATTCTCGGATAATGATTGTTGGCCTATTACACATCCACATACGAAAGTTCTTGCGAACTCCAGGAAATCTCTTTGCCCCAGAGAGGAGTTTGGAGGGGATTTCTGCTGCTGGAGGAATCCGTAGCTCTTTCTCCATGCCATTTCTCGTTTTCTGCGGGGAGAACAGCTCAGGAAACTAATGAAAGCAAGCAGTATGAACTGTCTGGGGAATGGTAGGACCCTTCCTTTGTGATGCTGCCAATGTATGTCTGTAGCACAGAAGAAGCATGAACGCTGGGTGAACCGTCCTAGTCATGGCACAGAACCTATGAACTACAGATAGTGTATCTGTGCCTCAGAGTAACCACGATTGTTCAACAATAAATTCCATACATCTTAACAATTTAAAAGGATTCTTCTCTCGTATTATGTAAATCATATGTAATTTTCGTGATATGATGGCTTGTCCTTTAGGTTTGGAGAAGAAAAGAAACTGAAGTCCTAGCCGTTTTGTGTTATACCTGCCCAGTGTTAGGCTGTCCGTCTTCCCTGGTAAGTACAATGATTTTTTATGCTTGGTCTATTCTTTCTCTCCCCAACATTCCCATGTTCCATAGAGAGAGAGCATTTCCTCTCATCTTCCTGAAAACTCTTTGTTGTTGAACTTATAATCTAATATTTAATCATATTATGAAAAAATAAAACTGGAAAACAAGGTTTCAGGTTCATGCTGTGACTAAGGTGATATGTGATAACTACCTGTACTAATCTGCTTAAGCAAATCTTAAAAAAAAAAAAAAAAAAAAGTGATAGGGAGAGTACAATATGAATCTTTATTCTGGAAATTAGACTGGAAATCTTATGTAAGTACGCTATCTTTAAGTTGTGCATGTAATTAGCCTGTTATTAATACTCTTACTAATACTTTATGCACCTCAATTTATTTTCTCACACTCCTTGCTAATTTAACTAGAAAGTTTTGGAGTCACAGGCTAAGACTTACTATATGCTTGTATAACATCCAACATGTCGCATCCTGAATGTGTCATTTTGCATTTTTTAGCATATTAACTGAAAGTAAGAATAAATAATAGGCCATATTTTTGTGTTCAACTCACTTTCTGCACACTTATTCATCATAAAAACTGTCATCAGTATGACCTACAACTAAGGTAACCAAAATGTTAAATGACTGGGATACAATTATGAACAAATTTGTTAAAGCTTAGATAAGATTTTAGGACTTTAGGGCTCCTCCCCTGTCCTTAACTTACTTCACAGCATCTTTCTCCCATGATCCCCAAACCTCAGATTAATCATAAACTCACACATGCTTTACTAATTCTGCCTTTGGATTCCCCTTGTGAAAGAAGGAAACCTCCACCATTTCAGGCAACCTTCATTTGTTTTATGAAAATTGGTTCCAATTGCATGACAATAGAGAGGGAACATGAGAAACTTAGCATGTTCCCAAGGAACCATTGATACTGTTTTTGAAAATACATACTTACTGCTATTGATCGTGTGAATCCAATTACACCATGCTTTGTAGCACAGTACACTGGTTGGAATGCAGCAGGCATGAGTCCTTTAAAATAAAAAGGCAGCTGAATAAAGATGTTAGGTACCCTTACTTACGATTATCTTAAACATACACATATAGGACAATAACAGAATAAATGATGGGTTTATAGAGATACAAAAAAATAGGCAGTTTAGTAAAAACTTGCAAAATATATTTTGTAAAGTAAGCAAAAGATATGAAATAACAGATAAAAACCGTGGGGGACAAAAGAGGGGTAGGTAATGAACAGAGAATGACTTTTAAGATGAAAAATCGGATATATGCAGTATGATTTAAAGATGGAGCACAGGATCTGGAAGAAAACACTCAAGGACAGATTTTTAGACTTATTCCATGAATCTGCATATTTGGAAAGTATTTTAGATAAAATTTGATTACTGATACCTTAACTGCTGCTATGCATCCTAGACATGTGTAAGTATTTACAGTGATTCTGGAGAGGAAGTGTGGGGCAGGACAAGGGAAATAGCAAAATCCACTTCAGCTACTGTAGCTGAATTCATGTTATCTTGGTAACACATCAATAAATAAAAAAGCAATAAAGAATTAAAATGTCTTACTTAAATTCCTTCCTTAAGTTACTTCTGTGGGATAGTAACTAAACAGAGATAAAACTTTTTGTCCTAGCCCTAGTGAGAGAGAGGGGAATGTGTGTTGTATAGCTGACTGAAGTGCAGTCAATTAACAATATGTCTTTGAGTGCAATACTACTATTGCTTACTTATTTGGCAATATGCTTAGGACTAAAACAAAGAGTGGGTTACATACGCTTTTGCATAGCAGTTTTTGCTCTAAGAAGCTTACATGTATAAACAAAATAATTCAGATTTGATGCACCATCGGAGGCACTGTAACATTTTTTACTTGTAATACTACTCTGATTTTTTATCTGATAGGTTCCCTATTAAATTGGGAAGTCATTCTGCAATCAGCAAATGGAAAAAGCACTAAGAAAGGAATGCAGGACCTCAGTGAAGAGGGTACAGAAATGAATGAGAAAACACTATGAATGGATTGATAAAGTGAAGTCCTCAGATAGTGAACAGAAAGAAATGAAAGCAGGTGTGTAGACAGTAAAGCTTTTGAAGCATGCTCTAGATCAAATTTTATGGGATGAAAAGGATTTCACTGTAAGGTACTTCCTAAAGTGGTCCTGGTTCTGAAACAATAAACCAGTGGGAGGATCTTTGGAAGGAGAGAGGAAAAAGAACTAACAATACTGGGCAATAGCATTACTACCTTCTGGGGGGAAAAAGGAGAAGCAAAACAAAAAATGACTGTTGAGATTCTGAACCTTTACAGTGGGAACGGGTGAGCATAAAATCATCATTTGCAGCAGAGAAAGAACAGATGCTTCAGAAGAAAAATAAGAGGTTCGTTCTTGTAAGACTTAATCTGATGGTAACAAGCTGATCAAGGAGAGATGGCAGATCATGAATATATGTATTTCTGAACATTATGTCCACAACTTCCACTATACCATGGCAATCTGGATTGAAATGGGGAGCATGAGTACTCTAACTCCACAAGAAAGCTATGTCCTTGTAAATAGCAAACCCTAGGCAGTCCTAAAGTTAGAGTGAGAAATTTGTCTATGAATGTGGTATCATAAAATCTGCATGCTGATGTTGATGCCTTAATGTTTAATGGATCTCATCCCAATTCGTATCTAAGATATCTGGTTTTAATTTCATATTTTTAAGCGATATAATCAAGAAAGGGTGTGACTTATCTCAGGGGAGATGATGAATACACTACTCAGCTCTTAAGTATGGAATTGCTAGAAAGATTATGTGCGCCAGAGAGTTGTATGGGCTCTTTGCTCTGGAATCCATTTTGTCCAAAGGAGATAACTTTCTAAGAAGACACAGAGCTCTAACTACAACCCTGACAGCTTGAAGGTTTTGTCTTCGTTTAAATGCTACATTGGTGATCCAGTGAAAACAATACTGTTGTTAGCTCTGTTCAGAGGTGGGAAATGAATGACTTTTCTAGTGACTGATTGTTCTATTAAATCTGTATTTATCTCTTTAGCTTGGATTAATGTGTTGTGCTTCTGAATGAGAACCTGCTCTATGAAAAATGTATTCCATGGTAACTCCTCTGGACTGGGATTGCAAGCAAGGCTTAACAGTCCCTGTCTTGGTGATTTATAACTGATGGACTCTCATCAGTCATCAGCATTCTTCATGATAATTGGAAACACTGGCATGCTATCAATATGCTAATGCATGTCTGCAATATTATGGTGCTTTTTTTTGGTAACCCTTGAGTTGTTGTACATCTTGTAAAGATAAAGACAATCCCAGTGGGGGTGCAGCTAAGAGACATACATAGGACAACATTTACTGGGAAACATAGAGGAGGAATTTAAAAGTTTGTTTTGTTTTTTCTTTTTTAACAGTGAGACAAATCACTTTTTACTTGACAGAAGAGAAGTAAAGTTAAGAAATAAACAAAGGAAGGACATAAATCATTGTAATGAAGTGGGATAGGGTTCAAAGACTTAACTTAAACATCAAAAGGCAGAAGGAATAACTAGGAAGGAAGGGAGGAATAAATAACTCTTTTAAGCAAAGCATTAAGAGCAATTATCTCCTAACAAACTATTATTTTTTGCTAACATGGAAAATAAAGAAACCAGTTGAGTCACTTTCAACTAAGGCAATATAAATGAAGAACTAGTTTTAGCATCCCTCACCCAAATCAATGATAACCCCATCTCGCTTTTATTCATGAGTTCAGTACCCAGCACCACAGTGCAGGAATTTTAGGTCTGTGCCACTTCCCTGCACCAGGGGGAACTGAACCTGTATCTGTTACCAGTGTGTCCTAAAGACTATGCTTTAAAGTATTTTGGGATAGACTGCTGTGTGACATTGATTCTGCTCTGCTTAAATATTTATTGAACCAATGAATGAAGATGACTTCATAGCATATTAGTTAGGGCATTCACTGGAGTGTTAAAACATCCAGATTCTATTCACCGCTCACATATTTCTTATGCAATGTGGAACAGCATCAGTGAAACAGACTGGAAAACATTAGACACGAAATACAGGGGGTTCAAATGGACGGTGATTTGGTGGTTTACTCCTAGGAAGTGGTAGATGTGGTTTTAAATCTCTAGATTTAAATCAGGGGGAGGTGACTACACCTAGATTTTCCTCTGTCTGGATAAGTTGCCACATGACTGAACTGTTACATGGCAGGGGAGAGAACTTCCTTCCTCTTTACTCTTCCTAAAATTTAATAAATCTTAGTATTTCCCCAAAAGATCTTCATCAAGAACTATCCGATGAAATGCAAATGATTCCATGATGACTGAAGGTGCTCTTTTGTTTACCAAAAACAATTCAAGTATCTGGCAGTAATCCTGCGTGTCAACAGAAGCATCTGCTCTTTCTTACTTTTCTCAGTCCTTGGCAGGCTGACAAGGAGACAGCTCTTGCCTTTGGTTATACTCTGGTCCCCTTGTTGTTAAGGTGTCAAGAGCACTCATTACCATTTCAGACACGATGTCAGACTTCTTACTACAATTGCTTATTCATTTATCACAGTCAATAGTTTTAATTAAGTTTCATGGTCCACATGTTGGGAAACCAGAGTTTGAGGTAGAGGATTGTATCAATAAGCTGGAATTTGTTGAAACCAGTATTTTCCTTCAGTCCACTGAAGAACTTTGATGACTATAGAATACCCACAGGTATGGGTTCCCACAGAATATATGTTGCCTTCAGAGATTTGAACAAGTCTCTTTGAATAAGATATATTAGCATTTAGATGACCTTTCCCTCTGCTCCCCCTTTTTCTCCATGGCTGCACTGTTTGCCAGCTTGAGACAAATGTAATTCTCTTTGACAGTATCTTTTAAGTTTCAGCAATTCTTTAAAAACTGTACTTCATATTTAGTTAAGCATGGCATAGACAATAAAGAATTAAAGTCTGTTTTCTACATGACTGTTGATTTTGTGTGGACTTTGACCTCACCAGAATGCAGCCCTTCTACACTATGATTATGCAGAGATCAAGCTCTATTTCCAGTGATATTTTAGATAAATATATTTACTATGAGAACATTTAAATATAGTATTAAAATATTGTATTTTTTTCTCACTAATAACAGCTATGTCTTCGGTCATTCTAAATTTGGAGAAAGGTAAGTTTTGAGGGACTGATGGAATTTATTTAGAAGCAAACCTAAAATACTGTACTCCCCATGTGTGGGGAATAAATTTGCCAAAGTAATTTGTTTTCCTTTCTGCATTAGGTTTGTTTAATAAATTATACTTATCAAAGCTTATTCCAAAACACAGAATAGTTACAAATAAACAAAGTCACAAGATTTAGCCATATTTATTTAAATTATCTTCCCAAACCACATAACAGAAATCTCCTTTATCACTGTTAGGTGAAAGTCTGGATAAACAGTATGGAATATGTTTGCACTGTGCTTTGAACAACCAGATACGTAGCTAGAGAAATGAACTAGGGGCATGATGGTCCTACAGAGTGATGAAAGAGTTGATTAAAGGGATTTATGTCCTACCCTATCCTTAAGAATAAGGAGAGTTACAAGATCACATTTCTTATGTGAGTTTTACTCTTGGGATTTTAGTCAAACCTAAGGAAACATGGAAATCATAGCAGAAGTTTTTAGCTGCATCACTTCTAGGAAATTTTCTAAGAATGAATGAAGTGCCTAGGGATTAGTTTCTAAATCTCATTCCTGTGGTTTCTGCTCACCATCTTCGTTATTACATAGGAGAGACAAGAGAAGCTCTCTCATAACGCTGAGCTGAAGGCCCCCGTCTCACAGCCATCTACATCTTTGCTCTCCTTTAACTTTGTCATTGTCTTTATTCAAATGATGCTGACCATATGCTTAACCTTTTTCCTGTAATGTGTATAGGACCAGGTCCTACAGAAGTCTGCTTGCTTTGAGGAGCACCTTGAGCGTTTCCTTTGGCTGAAGCTGTTTAGAGGAGGAGGACAAACTGGCTGCTTGTGGAACCTAACTGAATCCTTGAAGCTGAGTACAATTAAAGCACTGATATAGCTGCACAACAGCAAGGTTCCCAGATACACTACACATCGAACAGCCTCTCGTAAAAAACTGGCATGATCTTATGCTAAATATTTTGTCAGTTTTTAAGGCCTTTATAAATGTTTTGATTTTTCTTATCTGCCAGAATCCAGACATATACAAATTCTGTTTTACAAAGTATCTTCTTGCAAGCTATCAAAACAAACATGTGTACACACAAATGAATCCAGCAGCAAGACTTCCCTCTCCCCTTTATTTACTAAAAGTATATAGGTAGCAGCCACCAAAAGATAAGAGACTGCTAAATATAATCATCAAAATTATATCAGAGTTTAAATTTAGTACTGCATGCTTTTTGTATTGTTTGGCACATAGCTACTCATCTGTTAAAATTAAAATTAATTTGAGTAGCTTCATATAGAAAAGAATTTTAGCATGTTTTACTCTTTAAATTGTAAGTGGAGTTTATTACAATGCATTCAAAAACCTGCAGCCATTGGCATTCTCTTTGATGGGGGCAGTTTGGCAGTAAAATGCAAATTTCCCATTATCTCAGAGATGTAGTGGTATTACTTCCTCTTGATATGAATGTACAACTCTCATAAAAGTAAGAAGGTTTTATACCTTTGAGAGGGTTAGGATTTGGGTGTTTGCTGCACGGGCTTACTCATTTCACTCTATTTCTAATTTAGTACTGTCTTGTAGAGACATTAGAAGAATCAATACTAGAAAAATGGTGAATACTCTGGCTTTCATCCAGCTCATCACTTTAAGCATGCACTTCGTAGGAAGCACTTAGGTAGCTCTATGAGTGTTCTTTGAAATACCAAGCAGTAAGGCTTGCGTCTACCTCTAGTTCAGATCACTGGCAAAATTTCCATGGTGAAAACCTGGAAACTAATTAATATGTAATGCGAACATTATTGAATGTTACATAAGCACTGAATATTACTCTCCTTACTGCTCAACAAGATACACAAATACTTGCTATCTGCAGAACACATCTGATAAAATCTTGCAGAGAACTGGGACGAGGGGGATCAAAACCACTCAAAAGTTTAATGATCAACAGAAGCTACCTCTGAGAAAAGAAAACACTTGAAGAGAATGTTAAACAAATCAATGGCAGTTCGAGTTTTACATACACAGTGAACTGCAGGACTTGGACCTTTAGACAGTAAAGGAGAATTGGAGTCACAAAGCACAAATAGTAATAAATAAATTAACTATAAAAATTAGCCTATGTTAGCTTTTATAATATAGTTTTCCTTATGACCTTGGAAACAATTGCTAAATACAAGCCATGTACAAACAAACAAAGCAAAGAACGCTTTGTTTTTGACAGAGATGGTCACAACCATTAGAGCGCAATATTCACATTGGAAAGTAAATAAATGCAAACTTTGAATAATTAAGATGACATTTATAAGCTCTTACCAAGCCAAGGAAAGCCAAGCCGTTAGATCTTAAAAGCAAAATAATCTGTATTCATTTAAGAATGATTAGAAAAGGAATGAAATTGCTACCTTTGCCCTTTTTTAAGCACTCCATGGGCATCAGCACTTTTGTGAAAATGTTTAATCTTTTACTTGTGTTGGCAAAGCGTTGTACTGCAATAGCAATTTCCTTCTGGTTAATTTGGTTTGAGTACAACGTCTGTTTGAGCCAATGGAGATAAACTTACTGACTTCAGTAGGTAGTATGTTGGGCAGTATTGAAAAGACTGACTTTCTAATGGAGACTTCTAATAAACACCCACCTGTATTAGGTAAGTGTATATGTTAAGCTAGATGCTCTTAAACTAAGATATTCATCTGATTTATGTCAGTAGGGAGAACTGGTTTTCTCATCACAAATTCCACGGTATACAGGAGAATTTAATAGTATTCAAAACACGTAGGGTTCCCCTGAATGAAGTGACTATCATATGGTATTCTGCTTGGATGCTGAAGAAAGAATCCACAATGCAAGCATAAGCCCGTATAGATATTATTTTTCCTAGACTCTATGACGGTATCAAGACAGAATAACTAGGAGAGAGGGCAAGTATTTCCTCACAAAATTGCCCATTTCCTCTTCAGTCATACTTTTTCACTCCAAACGCAGTCATTGCAACACAGAGTGCACCTACAGGGAAGGATGCAGAATTCTCCCTTGCAACTAAGCAGCAAATACCCTGACTAACTCAGAAACCATGCAACTGGTTTTGTACTGATAAATTGAAATACAGTTATAACACAGGTAAGTAATGAGCAGAAAATGTGTTAACTTAAGCTCAATGAAATAAGAATGTTAATACTATGGCTTCTTGAGCAGAGGTGGCTCGCATCTGACAGGGCTTGAATCACTGACAGAGTTCATGTGATGACCTTCATTAACAAAGCAGATACAGTCTAATCTTATATATTCCTACAGTCGGGCTCCTATGGAATTGAGTAGGAAGGACTTGCTGCTGCTTCCTCTCTTTCTGTGAAAAGATTATCTGATTTTTCCAGATTTGGTGCCTGATAAATATAATATTAAAAATAACCCATTTTAAAGAGACCCTGAATTCAAATTAGGTCTATACATTAGATTATATTTCTTACATACAATGTATACATTGTTTTAATTTAGCCGTGCTATTGAATAGTGTTGAATCAGTATAATGACTTGAGGCTGGTTAGTTTTTTTTTTCAGGTTTGCATACTGCCATATATTGAGCAAAACCTCTCTGATGAAGTTTTTACATCATGCTCAAAATTATTAATTAAAAGACTGATACGTTAGGAAATTACTGAATTCTTCTTTGAACTGTGGGGAAAAAAGCAAATGAAAAGCAAATGAAAGCTATGGTCCTTTGTTATTACTTCTGTTGGTACAATAAAAACTAGCTCATAATAGGAGAAAAAGAAGAGTCATGAGAAAGAAGAAAAATATGACTAATCAATACGACATTTATTTTACAAACAAACCAGTGAGTAGCAAATACTTAGACAGAACATATTCTCACCTGCCAAGGATGAGATATTAATGATTACTCCTCCATCACCTCCATTTCCTTTTCTCATATATTCTAGGCCAAGGTAGGTTCCTCTAATCACAGATGTCTGGTATAGGAAAAAAGACATATTCAAAATATGTCTCCGGTAGCTCCTAAAAACTGAATCTTGCTTTAATTGTGGTAAGCAGAGCTTGTATTGCTTTAGCAGTGATCTCATACTTTGAAGATTATACACAAATAAAATATTCCGCAGCTGAAGATATCACTAACACCTATAACTCCCCTTAGCTGAGGGCATAAGAAACCTCCACATTTTAGGATTAAGTTGTGTGATATATTTCAGCTCCCAGAAAAGATATGTTTAAGAATATAAATAGAATTTGTATTCTCTCTGACTAAAGTTACTGGAGTTTTACCATTCCTCTCAAAGGAAGGTTAACCTAAACTGAGAAACATAGATAAGGTAAAAAAAACATGCTAAGAGATGTGAAAGATGGTGTTAGCAAAATATTAGCAGCAGCTTGTGTAAGAACTTTTTGTTGTTTTTTTCAGAAAGGATTTTGAGGAAGAAATTTTTTCTGAGACCTGTAAAATTTTAATTCCTTAAGATCTCTTTTTGAACCCAACTGCAGTCAGAACTTTTGCTGGGATTCATCCCATCAAACTTCAGACATTTAAAGTGAGATTCCTAAATGTATGCAAAGTCTGTAGTTATCGGCCTTCTAAACAAATCAAAAGGAAAATTCTCTCCCAGAGAGTGAATCCCTTTACTAGTAATTTTAATGAGGGCTAACAGAAAGGTAACAGGAGATGGTCCTAGTGCAACAGCTACTAACTTGTGTAATATTGCAGTATTACTGCGATAGTAATAGGTTTCACAACAATGTACTGCTTTTGTAAGATCTCCCCATAATGGATTCACATTTAGTTTAAAATTTCTGCTTAAAATAAACACATAAATTGAATCACTTCTATATTTCCACAAATATTAATTACTTCATTTTTAAAACTAGAAACTAACGTCTAGTGATATTGGACTCAGCTAAAATTAAGACATTCAAAGAATGAAGTGGCTCTACAAATCCTTCCACATCTGCACGCAATTCCCTGAGAGTTCTGATGAGGGAAGAACTGTGACTCACACAGATGAAAATCTCCCACAGTAACACAGTAAAAAAATTGTATATGGCTAAAACCCTAATGGCTAGCGGCTAGCTGTACTGGAAAGTTAAAAATCAGAACATTAAGCGTTTTCCTACTGTTATCTAAATTCCAAAACCAGCACTGGAATTGGCTCTTGTACAGTACAGGAGTGAAATACTATGCTTTAGAATCTACTGTGCAGTTTTCATTACTTTTTTCCCCACGTGTTCCTCAAGGACCTAGGATTAGTATTGCAATTTGAGTAGCTGGGCTTAATTATTTTTCTTAGGTCAGAGAAATCTGCCTTTCATTGTACTTCAACATCAGTTACTGTAAACATGCATTAGAAGCTGTAAGCTAAGATCATCACTGGCTTATCATGCAATTAAGGTAAATCTGTATGCTTCATAGTGCAATGTGAATAGCAGAAATTATTATATTTAGGCCTTACAGGTCTCTTTATCCACTTAGGGGGGCCTCATGCCATTGATTTCAAGATAAGTGGTGCTTCTCACTTTTCAGTGTTCATGTCTCTACCAAGGCACTTGGTCTGCTTTCTGACATCAAGTTATTCTGAAGGAATAAGCAACCAAGCCATTGAACAACAGAACTGGTGTATTTCTGGACACCTGAGAATGCAAGCTTGTTAAAGTAGTTGCCTATGCCATTTAATCTTCTACAGATAGCACTGTTTTTCATTTTGTTTGTTTTTTTAAAAGGCCTCACTGTCAGCAGTTGTGTTGGTAGCACTAAGAAACAGTGCTCGGTGTTACTGCCTCTGTCTATACCGTAGGACCTGATGGTAATCCTCAGCTGGTGGTTCCAGGTATGTGCCCTAGCCCCATTATTTTGGCATGAAAGCTTGGTTCTTGTCATCTCTCCTGGCACAAAGGGAGAGGAAAGTGAGGTGTATGGACCGGAAGAAGGTTGCAGTGTACGCCAAAGAGATTCCCTGTTCTGGCTTTTCACAGTGGAACATCCTTGCCTTCTCCAGCATTAACTTTTTGTCCTTAAATAAATGAAATGAATCATTTCTGAAGTTTGCCTAGCTAGCCTTCTGGTCACTGTTGAGACATTACTGATTATTGTTGAATAAACCAATTGGATATGCAAGGTTTGCTCATTGTTGGAAATTTCATTCAGCTATGAGCTATACTGAACTATGCAAAGCATTCATGCTTCTTCCAGTGTACTTTCTCATTTGCACATGAGATTTTTAATATACTCTTCTTTACAAGCTTCTTATGACCCAGGAATGAGCAACACAGAGTAAGGAAATGAAGTAAGACAGCTACCATTTCTTGCACTACTCATCGTAACAAATGCAAGCTGAATACTTAGATCTTTGAGGATGTAAATTCTCAAAATTGGCTAATCTTCCATCATTTCCCTAAATCTCTCCCTGTGAACATCCTCAAAGACGTTCTAGATGTTAATAAATCTTTTCTCAAGAACTGTTTACTTCTCTAACCATACTTTCACAATATATCTGAAAAAAATTAGTTTGTCTTGTATGCTGTTGTCTCAAATTCACTGCCTAAGCTTAAATTTTTGTGTCTGATGTGTTGCACACGTCCTTTCTCCCCTGCCCAATAACCAGGAAAAATGTGAGTTCTCTCCACTGTTGAACTTACTTAGGTTCTGCTTTTATTTTTTGGACAGCTGAATTGGGCTTCATTCTTCTTCATTTCATATTTGTTAAAAAAAAAAAAGAAAAATACAATAGTTTCATTACTCAGACATCTGAACATTAATGCTATGCTTTCTAGCTACGTTCCCATCTTCTGATTTACTGATGGCTTTTCTGACATCTGTAACGTTTCCTACAGTAGCATCAATCCCTGGTAGTATGTCTTCATTACATACTCTTATTGATCCTCTTGAGCTCAGAAGTTTGAAGTGTTCCACTTCTTTGCATCTTTAAAAAGGCCACCATTGTGCTTACACTTCCTCCTCTGCCCCCCGCCCCCTCTGCCCCTGAAATTTGCATGGTCTTTGTACCACTATGGCCAAAATATACAATTATGCTGTAACAAAAAATTGCGTAGTCACAAAGTATCAAAATTTGGACAGTTCGCAATTTGGATAAGCTGATATAGGTAGGCTACGGAATTTGTTTTAGACAGAATCCCCCAAGGTTACAGGTTTACTTTTTCTCTTCCTTGACTGTAACAGCTTTACCATTTATTGATAAATAGATTTTACCTTAAATTATGTACATATTGGTGTAACAAATGAACTAAATAATAGTTCAAAAAGTGTTTCTTAGCTGCAGTATTTTCAATACAGTACTTTCACCTGAAGATCACAAGACAGCTGAGGAACGTATTTCATTTTTCTGTGGCTCAGATGTCAAAAACCAAATAGACACTGCACTCCTTGCAGCACATATCTAAGTATTTTGCAAGGCCAAACCCTGAATTAGGTAGACTCCACTTTAGAAACTGACTACTCTGAATTCACAGAAATTTCTTACTTTGTTGTTTGCATAAATAAATTATTCAAACCAATGGAAAAAAACCCCATAGAATTACCAGCTACTGCCCCATTTTGCCTGCTAATGATGAGACTATCACATGCCTGAACAAATTTTACGCATATATTTGAAGTTTTCTTCTGTCTGATAACTGAATTCAGGCATTTGGTGTTTTGCTGACATACTTCTTCCCTTTTTGAGGGGGAAGGAGGGTGTCATTAAAATGCAGACAAGAGATTCGATAAGAACAAGAACGCCACTAAATTTTTCGTTTTAGAAACTAGTCCTTCTGAATCCTGAATGAGGTAGGAGGTCAACTTTCTTATTTTTTGTAATTTCTGCCTTAACACCCATTTTTTTCTATTTTTATTACGATTGAAGCATGTCTGAAAAAAAGTGTAAAAATGACATAATTTTCTGACATGATTTTCAGAAGAACTTTTTATTACAACACAATAACATGATATGTCTTGTTAGTCAAGACCATCAAGCAAAGTAGTACTAGAAAAGGGAACCAATTCTTTTTCTCAAAAACTAGAGAAACAAGTTAGTATTAATTATGCATAACAAATAAAAAAGCATCTCCTCACATGTTAATGAATGGTTATTATTTTTTCTAGCAGAATGCTTTCAAGATTTTTGGAGGCTTACGAATTTGATCTTTCTGGACTAAATTTGTGTATTAGTATACATACATAACGTTTTGAGGTTAGGGCTAGATATTTATTCAAAGGTATTGTCATCCAATCTTTAGATATATTGTGGAGAGACAAAACTTATCCCTGGACAATCCAATTTAGCAGTATTATTTATACAGCAAATGTTTTGATAGTTGTACTGTTATGCTGTACTGCAGTTTTAACAGTTGTACTGTACTTCCCCAAAAGGCTAAATTAAAATTAGCTCCTTTTTCGCTAAAGCTAAACCTTCATTTTTTGTACAGTATACATAAATTAAATGGATCTGTCATGCTAAGCAGGGCAACACTTAGTAATTAGATCCCATACGACTGATTTTTTGGCATCCTCAAGTTATAGTCTGCATTTGAAAGTTTTGCCAGAATAATAATATTAGTTAAAAAGTGCAAAATTATCACCTAAATGGCACATAATTGTGTTTTTGCTGTCAAATTCTTGCATTAATCTAATTATTTCCATTTGGAGAATCAGTATATCTACAAAATAACTTTTTTTGGCATAAGAAAACAGTAAGATAGTCAAAATGTTATATAAAGTACTTCTGCACTTTTGATTCCAGTAATATTTAATATGAAAGCATAAGTAACAGAAGCACTGTTACCTTTTAACTGTATACTATGACTTATCTCTATCTCCAAAAATCTCCAATACAAACATGAAAAAGGGAGGTCCAAATAAATTGTTGGTATAAATTTTTAGTATAAAATGTTCTAAATGTATTTGTAAAGAGAAAAGATATTGTAATTATAGTGGCCACTATCTGTTCCAAGAAGCCTACATCACCAATATAAAGTTAAGGAAGTAAATTTTTATTTAGCTAACATGTATACATTCAAGGCCAGTTGAAATCCAGGTTTCTTTTCTTTTCTTTTTTTTTTTTTTAGGGGCTTCATGAAAGAAAGTTAGATTATAAAAATTTCTGGATTTCTTAAGCTTAAGTTCTTGTGAAGTTGAATGCAAGAAACACTGTTCTTGTTATTTGAGAGCGGCTGTAGATATGACTTTCAATGAAAACGTGTCATATGTTCTCATGCTTTTCTCTGTGTGTGTGCGTGTGTATGATGGATTGCTGAAACTACACCAGCAACATACGCTTTAAAAAACAGAATTCCTAAATAGCTGAGAAGGTCTTTATATATCATAATAATAGAGTGTGCATTTGTATGGGAATCAGCAATTGAATTAATCATTGATCAAGCTGGTATTTACCAAGCAGTACTATCAACTTTGGGGGTTTGCGGTGAGGAAGGGATGGCGCTGCTGGAATACTTAACTAAAAAAAGCTAATAAAAATATTAATGAAGTAATGAAAAGGTAGATATTGTGCTGCACAAAATATAGCTAAATTGTGGAACGCATTGCTACAGGAATCTCTTTTCTGTGTTTGCTACTCCCCCCCGCCCCCACTTTATCAACCTGTCTTTTCTCCTCCTCATGCATTTGTGATAGATACAAGTAGGAGTTGTGTTTTATTCCCACTTTTTCCTTGTAAATTATGTCCCAGTCTTCAAACTTGTTTCTTCATTTCTGTTCCTCACACTGTCTCAGGTAATGCTATCAGGGAACTTCCTTGCACTCCTTTAAAAATAGTTCCTGAAGACCAACCGGTTCTGTGGACTGTTCTGGCCATAAAGAACACACCCCATATGTGTTTGTTCTGATTTATCTTGCTCTGTACTGCTCTACTTTTGTACTTTGCACTTTAAACTGGGGCAGGGAGTATTTGTTGTATCAATATATAAATAACATAACTAAGAAGAAGAATGGCATATAGAGTTTTTTTCTTTTTTAATTAGAAAATGCTTGCATAAAGTGTATCAAAATGTGTGACTACAGAAATTTTTCCTATTCTTAGGGATAATACAAATGGTATTTATATGTCCTACTCTGGGGATACAGAGACATTTTTAAAATTACATAATTCATACATATTTGTTATCTATAACAAGCAAAAAATATTTTATGGGACTGACCAATACAATATATTATATGTAGCAGATGTTATTGTTCCATTGTTATAGTTAACTAGCAGGAAGCATAAAATGTTTATATACTCGTTCATGGAAATTACTGTAACTAGATAGAAATACCCTGTTGAAAGAAGCTAGGTAACAGACTCATCTACTTACACACGGTGAAAGAATATTCAAATTAAAATATGACGAAGGAAAACAAACAAATATATTCCTCTTATTATGGGACTCTTAATCTGTGGTCTCAGTTCAGTTCTTTCCAAGAGCAAACTAGACCTTGGATAGAGTTAGAAGGCCAGGAAAAAGTACTATTAAATCTATAACTATTTTTTCATATATATAATTTTCCAATTAATTTTCTATAACTTGTCTAACATACAGCCTGTGTTACTTGTCTTGTTTTTTCTGAGCTTTGTTTGTTTTCATGGACACACTGTGATTCAAAGACTTTCATCACCAAGGGCTTTGTTTCTACAGGCTTGGACTTTCAGTGAGGCTGACAGTACCTTTCTTTCAAACAGGAATGGAAAATATTGTTGAAACGCAGGTTACAAAAATGCTTCAATTAGGACAAAATTTATCTCCTATTTTAGGTACAGAAAAGGTTCTTCAGAAATCTTGCTTCAGGATCCATATAACTCCTGTTGATACCCAAGCTAGCCTACAGATGCATTTGTATTGCTGGCATTCCGTCAGCTTTACAAGGTAGTCCCCGATTAAGAACTGTCTCTACATCATGTAGTGAAAAAAGTGTGTAACACTGCAACAAGGGAGAAAGCAGAGTTGAGCAGTGAGTCCCTTTCCATTCTAAAGTACCAAACAGAATTTATGTCTTGTCCCAGGAGGAAATTCTAATTCTTATTTTATCTCTGGCTTCCTTTTAGCCTGGCCCACTGAACCCCCTGCTCAGGTACCTTTGTCCATAGAACTTTTGACATAAACTTTTAATTTTCTTATTTTGAGCTCTGTTGTTGGGCTAACAAATTCCAAATGACTGACTGGAATCAAACTCCACGTTACATTCTTCCAAGCTTTCTTCTGCTACTTTTCTTTGCAGAAATAAGTTATAATGTTTTGTAAGTATGGTCATAGGGGAGACTTACTGAATCCTAACCCTTCTATTATAATTTCATATGTGGTAGAACAGAAGCTAGTCAGAGTCTTATCAACTAAAAAGTAGGTCTTTCCTTTGGAATTTGGATCTCCCAGCCAAGTAGACTGATGCGAAAAACTTGCAACTGAAAAACAGATACCTAGGACTCACTTATATATGTTTTTTCCCAATGAGAAGAATGGGACTTTGCTGTAGGGATAGCCAGATACTATCAAACAGCTCGTAATAGTCTGTTTCTAAATAAATTTTAGACTTGTTGCATGTATTGGGCTTTGGCTGGTAAGTGCTCTTAAGAGACGTGTTTCAGTCAGTGATGTTGTTGAAATGGCCTATATTAAAAACTCAGATCGTGTGCTTACTTCATTAGTGAAGAAAATGTGGAGCTCTTGGTTTAACAATTTTTCTAGTGCAACATATTTCTCTAGTGCAGGCCAGCTGCGTCTCACAAGTAGCTAAAATATTCTGAAACGTCTGTATGAACACACTGTCCTCATGTAGCTGCAGCTTTACTGCTCTGGGGACCAAATTATTAGATCTACATGGGATTTTGTTGTGCTTTGTAGCAGGAGAGTGTTGTGTGGTGTTAGCCAGAGTACCTTTATACACTGCTGTATGACTTGAATAGACAATTTAAAAGACCCACCATACACACTTTTATTGGTTAGTACATATGCAGCTATGTAGTTATGTTTTAAAATAGATATACTTACCAATTTAACAATTAATGTTCTGTCATATGCTCAATCTGTACAATCCATCGCCTCCTGACTGAAATGTATTCTGGCATTAATTACTGAAGTATGAACATTTGAAAATAGATAATGCTTACCAAGTTAATTTGTATAGTACTTTCCCAGTCCTTTTCATTATTCACTCCAGCATTATTAACCACAATATCCAGCCTTCCAAAATGTTCAATTACTTTTTCAAAAGCACCTATAGTAAAATCCAAGGATGAAATTTCTTAGCACTTATCAAAAGTAAATGTAATGCATGTTTGTTATTATACAAAAATGTCTTAATTATTTTCTTAACTGTTAATGAGCAAGACATAATTACATTCTTTATCTAGCCATTCACCAATATGAAACATACTCAGGAAAACTGAAGGGATTAAGACACCATTGTAATCTTTTCATTCATTTTTATTGTGCCTGATTACAATCCTGTTATGAATGTTCTTAGTACCCATATACTGTGGTATTAGAGAAGATATTTGGCACCCTCATTATGCAAATTAAGCATTTATAGCTTGTTCTTCACTGGTTTGGTATAGTCAATAAATTCCAGATTTGGTCTCATCTATTTTAAATTTAAAATAAAATAAAAGCTTTATGTATTCAGAATGATTTTCTTGGTTGAGTTTGAGTGCAACTTGTTTTAATGCAATTCTTATTCAGTGATATAACTAATACAAATAGTATGAATCTTTCAACTACAAATAATTTGTTTTATGTCTTGATTAATTTTATCCATTTATGAATAAATTATTATGCATCCTACTTATCAAGTAACTTAACAATGTGTTTCTCAAATTCAAATATCTGTTGACGGAAAGAAATGAACAGTTTTCCAAAAAGTTTCAAAATAAAGAACTGGGACACTTCCACAGTGACACTGTATTCTCCCAGGTGACAGAGTTTAAACTAAGAAAAAAGATAAGTATGGAAAAAACACAATGATGTCATAGTGATGAGCAAACTCATCTAAGCTGGCCCTGCTTAGAGGGGTTAGCTGTGTGAGATGACCTCCACATGTCCAATCCAGACTAAGTTTTCCCATGACTGCTGACATAATCTGAAACATATGTATATGTGTGTGTGTGTATATATATGTCTATTTTATATATATACAGCTTGTATGTTTTTCCTTCCAAATACAGTTCATCATCCCTAAATATTTATTATTATGCAAACCAAGAACCAAAGGGACACACACACACACGCACACAAATATTGTTTAAAAATGCATCATTTGGCAACTGACTAAAAATCTAGAGTATTTCAGATATCCTGCAAGTATGCTTGACATGATAGGCCTTAATGAAACCACTTTACTAAAAGGTGGTCCCAGGACCATCGGAATTCTCTGCTCTTCAGTCTTTGGCAATTAGTGCCAATCAGGAATACAGCAGCAGCTTTGAAAAATCTACCTTTTTTACAGCAGTTGCAGGGGCTTATAACAATTTGTTCTTGCACCAGATGGTCAGTACTGTTAAAGCCTTTTCTGCGCCTGAATGCTGTAAGTCCATCAAAATCATCATCTTGGCACCAGAACAAGAGCTAGGCAGCTGATGGAAAAGGTTTTCTTTGTCCAACTGTCTGTTTTACAGATTTTCTTATGTTGTTATTCTCTACTAGAGTACTTTAAATATTTTTAAAACCTCTTATATTAGCTTTCTGCCTTTCCTGTTTTTTGTTATGTTTCTTGCTAGTTCATTCTCTGGTTCCTGAACTGAACTCTTGAATCACTTTTCCTTTCCTCATCCTTCTGATCCTGTACCACCAATGGCAAGTGAAGACCTTCGGCTTTATTAGACACAAAACTAATTAGTTTAGCTCCGTTTCAATGGGTACAAAACTTGCTAGTTAGAGCCTCCATTATATTTCTAATTCTGGAAACCGGCTCTCTGATTCTCTTTCAATCTTCTCAATATATCATCTTTCATCAGCCTCATTCTTAATGCCTATCATTCAAAATCTTTTGCCTACAAACACCCCATCGATAATAATACTTTTGCCAAATCATCTCTGTATTACTTGCATACAGGTTGATTAATTTTCATTTTCTAGCTTACACATCCAGAATATAACCAAATACTTTCAACCGTTTACATATCTATGTTAAAATAAAGGATGATTTGGAATATTTCTACTAAAAGTTTATCTGGCTACAGTGATCCCATCTGTTACCTGTCCACACACAAAAAAATCTCATTATAGTTTCTTAGTCAGTGTTGTCAACAGCACATCAGCGTAAACTGACTTGTTCTTCATCTTTTGAAAGCAGAATAATTCTTTGTTTACATGGCACACTACCTACTTAGTGCGCACGGAATTGCAAAAAATAAAAGCAATTGTATAGAATGCTGACCATTAAAATGAAGAAAAGGATCTGTTTTAAGTGGAAGGTAGGCATAAATACCAGTCATAACTGAGCTTCCTAAATATTCAAGGAAAGCAAAAATAAATGTGTGGATGACTTTTCAAAAGTGGGTCAAGATAAAAGATTTTTTTTTTTTTTGCGGGGGGGGGTAATATGTGAAGAGTCACCACAGAAAAAAAGCACATAGGTGGAAGACTTGGTCTTCTAGCCATGAGCATTATGTACCTACTTATAGCAGTTCCAGTACTGCAACTTGTTTCATTCGGGAAGAGCTACAGTAAAATCAGGGGAGCTTGATGGGAGTGCCAGAGCTCAGGCCTGACAAACAAGTGCAGGACTTGATGCGTCCACTAAGAGCTCAAAAGACCAGGAATGAAATTAATGTAGGTTTCCTAAGCAGTGGCTTGCAGTTGCAACTGGCAAAAATAGTAGAAGTAGTAGTAGGAGAAAACTGTAAAACTTTCCTCCCAACCCCTCCCCCAAAAGTCTGTAAATTGTGATTATAACTTAATGTTATGAAACCCACCACAAGAACAATGCAGTACAAGCAGCAGCCTATGATTCTTGCTATTTTTCCCTGCTGTGATTCACAAAAAAAATCTTTCCCTGCTAATTGGGCTCTGAATCCTCCTTCCCTGGCCCGTCCTGCTCATTCCAGTTCGCAGTGTTTTTCCCCTCTGGCATCACACTAGCTTTGCGCTAGTGACGAGGGAACATGGGAGGTGGGAGAGAGCACTCTGGGGTAACAGCCGTGCAGTGGCACATACTTCCTACCCCTAAGATGCTTTTTTTGTGCTCCTGGGTAACTCTTCCCACTTAGAGAAAAAGTCAGTAATTGACCTAGCTGGCAGAAAATTGTTTGCTGATCTGAACAGATCGCAAGTTTATGTAAAAGTTTGTGGCTAAATATAATCCCGCTAGCCCAGAGCGGTGGACAATACTGCTGAATTCTGGACTGGCTGTATGTTCTGTGAAGGAGAAATGACTATGTTCAATTGCTGCTGCTGAGAAAGTAGGGGGTGAAGTGTAGTGAATAAAAGCAAAACTAAACGTTCACATCTAGCCTGATGCTGGCAAAAGGGCACTGACAATAGTGATGTCAAAATCTGTATCTGACTCATTACCTATGAATGTATCCCTTAATAATGAAACTTTCATGAAATGATGTGGCTCTTATGAAATATCATGAAGGCTCCCCCACAATTATAGGATATTATAGGAACTCAGTAGGGAATGAGATTTATTCTGTAGATGAGAACACATAATATGCCAGTTATCCATGGCAGAAGCCCCTTGCTGCTTGCATCCTCAAAACGTATGTGAAATGTTCCCAACCCATATTTAACAGGGGGCTATGGCAGTGTCCTGTCTTTTTCCAGTTCTGCTTTCAGCTGCAGCAGCACACATTGGAAGCACGCATGCAGTAAGGGGAGAGCACTGCAACCCGGAGCAGAATTTATCACTGCTGTGATGAGCGAATGCAGCTTGCAGTCTGCACCGAAGCCTCATAAAAAGCAAGTTTGTACTTTAAAGCATATTACTCATAAAATAAAAATTATCTTCTGCAGAGCCTTTCATGCAAAACGATCACTCTGCCCTCCGTGAAATTACTTCTCTAGCACTGCTTTTTTTTTTTTTTTTTTTGTTTTACAACCCGCCAAGTAACACAGTGTAATACACACATGCTGGCAATAATATAATAATACTTCACACCTGCAGGTTCAGAAACAAAATCCTTTTTGAGTCACTGGCAGAAGCGATTGCGAGTAGGCTGTCCTCCAGAAACCTTAACTGCACAGTTATTGGTTCTGCAGCCCAGGCTGCTTCAGGTCGCTGCACGTTAAGCGAGCGCGCAGCGCTGACAAAAGTTTCCTCCTTACCTTTCAGCTGCTCCTGGTCCGTAACGTCGCACTGGATGAAGACGGTCCGCTGCGCTTCGAACTGCCCGTCCAGCGCCGCCTTGCTCTCCCGCCCGGCCTCGGGGT